CCTTGCGCACTAAGGCACACCTAGCTGGTGGCCAGGTGCTTGGCTGTGCTGCCAGCATGGCTGTGTGTGCGAGCTTCCTGGCAAGCACGCCACGTATGCATGCGGGCTGCTGCCAGGCAGGTTGGGCGCACACACCGCAAGCACAACTTGCGAGCTATTTTTGTTGTGCTACTATTGCTAACATTCGCTAGCTAGCTGCTGCTTCAATGCCAGTGCTAGGCGCACCCCGGCACGCAAGCATACACAACCCCCAATACACGCACGCAGAGCGTGCTACTACTGCTGGTGCAATGCTTGTGCTAGCATGTGCTGTTGTCCTTGCTTGAAATAGTGCGGGTTGGCTGCTGCCATGCCTAGCATGTGCGGCTGGCCCTTGGCAGGCCTTGCCTTGCACACATGGCTAGCTCGTCCAGCATGCTCGGCCATGCTAGGCATGTTGATGTATGAGTTTTATACCATGATTTATCCCGGTTTTACAATGTATATTTTCATGGTTTTGGGCTCTTTGGAGCCATTTCTTGCTAACAATCTCTTCTCTAGTGTGTTCGATCTATTTTTGTGAGTTTCTTGGATGAATCGATTATGGTTTGGATGTTTATAGAAGAGGTTAGTGCATGAAGATGAAGATTTCCCCCATCCCTGTTGACCCTTGCTTGCCCGGTCAGGCAGGGCAAAGAAGGATGAGCTAAATACGGAGTATGTGTTGTAGGTTCTACGTGCCCGGTTGGGCATGACTCGCCCGGTTGGACCGGGCATTGAAGAGTTATAATTTCAGCATCACAAGCAATTAATTTGGAGGCTGCCCACGTGCCCGATCGGGCGTGATCTGGCCGGTGGGACCGGGCACAAGGAGGAAGTAGAATAAGGAAGAAGAGGCGACGTATCCCAGCTGCCCGATCGGGCACCCCTTGCCCGGTGGGACCGGGCACTGCTTCGCGGAAGCCGATTTGCTTATTTTCACAATTCTATCTTTTTGGGTGTATAAATACCCCTTGTAATCATCATTAGAAAACACTTTATTATCTCTAAGTTTTATTTCTCTCTCTAGAACTCTAGTTTAATACTTTTTTTTTAGCAATTAAATTCCTAGGTTAGATTTAGATATTATTGATTAACAATTTAAGTAATTTCAATTGAAGCATCATTGGTATTCATCTCTATTCCTTTCTCTTTCAATTGTTTTTGTTTTCTATTATGTTTTCCTTGATTATTATTGTTATTGCTTTTTTCAATATGTGTGAGTAGTTTTCTTATTCCAAGATCTAGGGTAGCCCAATTATGATTGGTGCATGAATTAATTCTTTAAATTCTCTAATAACTATTGCAATTGTTTAAGCTAAATTGATTGTGATTATGCCAATACTAGATTAGAGATAATTAGTATTGTTATTATTCCATAGTTTCAATCACAACGAGAGTTGGGTTTTAACGGATTTGAGTAGATTAATTTAGGGTTTGAAATTCATCACGAGAGTAGTTGAATTGATAATTGGGAAGTAAACTAAAGTGTTTAATGTCTCTAATTTGCATGATTCCATGACAATAGGCTTGATTGTGGTTAGGGAAGCCATTGATACTTGAGAGAGTCCTTGGTATTGATCAGGGTTTACTTTTCCCCATGTTAATTGGAATTGTATGTTAGGGGTAGATATATAATTGCATCGATCGTAATTGTGGTGATACTTGATCTTAGATGTTTTAGCTTATTGATTCATTATATTCTTTTGATTTATTCTAGTTTTCCATACATTAGCTCCTAGTTTATTCCACTATTAATTTGATTCTTGCTTAGTGATTATTTGAGTCTAGATAATTTAGGTGAACCTTAGTCTCTTGGGATTCGATCCTTACTTGCCCGTCTACATAGTAGTGGTCTCGTTAGGTTTATTTTTGTTAGGTACGCGACAAGCCTATCAAATTTTGGCGCCGTTGCCGGGGACTAACGGTTTCATTTGATTATTTGTGATTCGTTTTTGCTAAGCTTCATTCGTTGCTTCGGCTATTTTCTCTTGTGTTTTTGATATTCTTTCTCTAGTTTTTTTGTTGCATGCCCACACGACGCTCAGGGTCAGACGATCTTGAACCATTTGACTCTGAGATCGAGGCGACTATAAGGAGAAGGAAAACAAGAAATCGAAGAAGGAGAAACCAAGCCAACAGAAACATGGAAGATGCCACGAAATCCCTCTTGGAGTACGGTATTCTTGATGCAACTACCGGACTCCTTTCTAGCATTGTCAGGCCACCTGTGACGGCTCAGCACTTCGAGCTTAAGCCACAATTCATTCAATTTATCTCCAATGATTCATTTGCAGGCTCACCACATGATTGTCCGGTAAGTCATATTGATAGTTTTCTAGAGAAATGTGATACAATGAAAATGAATGGTGTTACAGATGATGCTATTAGACTACTCCTTTTCCCTTTCTCATTAAGGGATAGGGCAAAGGAGTGGTTGAGAGATGAAGGCACTGGCTCATTCGTTACATGGGACAAGCTAGTGAAGGCCTTCTTAGTGAAGTTTCTAGAACAGGAGAAGACCGCTAGGTTGAGGAACGAGCTATTAACCTTTCGACAGTCGGATGACGAGACTCTCTATGAGGCTTGGAGAAGATTCAAGAGGCTACAGAGACAATGCCCTCACCATGGCATCCCAGAGTGGATGTGAATCAAAACATTCTACAATGGTTTGACCCATGAATTTCGTATATACATCGATGCTGCACCCAGAGGTTCGGTCATGACTAAGAACCCAACGGAAGCCAAGGCACTCATAGAGAAAATGGTGGCCAACGATAACTACCATCCAGGAGGTTTGTCTATGTGAAAAAAGAGGTAAACTTGATGTAGATGCTTTGACAATGTTAACCAGTTCTGTGCAGGCACTAACAAGCAGGTTTGATAAGCTCCAAGCTGAAACTTCTACTAGCCCACAGGAGGTTTGTCAATTGTGTAATGTGCACGACCATATTGCACCCGATTGCCCACAAAACTCGATCGAAATGTCAATTGAACAAGCCAATGCTTTCTACTCCTCAAATCCCTAAAAGCCCTATGATCCCTACTCTAATTCTAACAATGAAGGTTGGAAACACCATCCTAACTTCTCCTATAAAAACACCCAAGCCCAAAAAAATCCACCACCACCCCGAAACAAGAATTACAATGCACCACCTGGTTTCCAACCAAGGCCATCTCCAGTCCAACAACCTATTCAACCACCTCCTCAAAAGTCCAACCTTGAACTAATGTTGGAAAATTTTATCACCACAACCAATAGTGCCATACAACAACAAAGTAGCTCTATTCAACAGTTTCAAGCTCAGAGTAAGCTCATGGAAAATCAGTTAAGCCAACTTGCTCACCAAGTTGGCCAATCCTTGAAGACACCGGGAACTTTTCTAGGCCAGACAGAGTAACCGCACAAAGGGCATTTGAATGTTGTTACTTTGAGAATTGGAAAGCAATGGGAAGATCCTCCTATCAAGGAGCCATCGAAGGAGGTCATTGAAGAAGTAGGTGAAAGTGAGAAGGAGATTGATAATGCTAAGGTCGAGGATGAATTAAAGGAAGAAACTCCAAAGCCGCTTGCTACGTATGTGCCTAAGGTTCCTTTTTCTCAAAGGTTAGCCCAAGCTAAGCTTGAGAAAAATTAAGGTAAATTTCTTGACATCTTGAAAAAGCTTCATATAAATATTCCGTTTTTAGATGCTATATCCGAAATGCCTTCATATGCTAAATTTTTAAAGGATATGCTTTCTAACAAGAAAAAGTTGGAAGAGAATGCTACAGTTGCTTTGAATGCAGAGTGCAGTGCTATTTTGCAGAACATTCTCCCTAAGAAATTAGGTGATCCAGGAAGTTATTCAATTCCAGTGAAGCTTGGGGATATTGAAATCAACAGGGCACTATGCGATCTTGGTGCAAGTGTGAGTCTCATGCCACTGTCCATCTGTAAGAAGCTGCAAATAGGTGAAATCAAACCCACACGCATATCCTTGCACCTTGCAGACAAGTCAGTAAAGTTTCCTTTGGGTGTACTTGAGGATGTACCTCTTTGCGTAGGTAAGTTTTTCATACCTTGTGATTTTGTTGTGATGGAAATGAAGGAAGATGTAAATGTTCCAATTATACTTTGTAGACCTTTCTTGGCTACTGCAGGTGCAATCATTGACATGAAGAAGGGTAAGATTACTTTTGAAGTAGGTGATGAAAAATTGGAATACTCACTTTTGAATGTTATGGGTACTCCCTCTATGGGAGAAACTGTTTGTCAAGTTGATGTCCTTGATGAGTTGCAGAGTGAGCAACTTCCTTTGAGTAAATCAGATGATGCACTTGAACAAGTGCTAGTAGGGAAGGATGATGATGGAGATTAGGAATCAAGGGAGTATGTCAGGCTACTTGAAGAAGCAAAGGCCAACCCAATCGCTAATCCAATCAGAGAAATACTTAGTGTAGTGAGTATTGGGGAGAGTACTAAGCCTCCCGAGGTAGAGTTGAAACCTCTCCCTTCTAATTTGAAATATGCATATCTTGGTCCTAATAATTCATACCCTGTTATTGTCAATGCTGAACTCGAGGACATGGAATTGGAGCAATTGCTCAGTGTTCTAAAAACATATAAAAGTGTAATTAGGTACACCATTGATGATATTAAGGGTATTAATCCCTCTTTCTGTATGCATAAAATTATACTTGAAAATGATCATGCCTCCTCTATAAAACCTCAAAGAAGACTTAATCCAAATATGATGGAAGTAGTGAAAAAAGAGGTTCTAAAATTGCTTGCTGCAGGAATAATCTACCCTATCTTCGATAGTAAGTGGGTTAGCCCTGTACAAGTAGTACCCAAGAAAGGAGGTATGACCGTTGTCAAGAATGACAAGGGTGAGCAAGTCGCCACTAGGACTGTTACAGGGTGGTGAATGTGTATAGATTATAGGAAATTAAATAAGGCCACCCGGAAGGATCATTTTCCCCTACCCTTCATTGATCAAATGCTTGAAAGGTTGGCAAAGCTTTCCTTTTTCTGTTATTTGGATGGATATTCTGGTTTCTTTCAAATTCCTATTCGTCCTTGTGACCAGGAAAAGACTACCTTCACATGTCCATATGGCACCTTTGCATATCGTAGGATGCCATTCAGATTATGTAATGCTCCCGCCACTTTTCAACGTTGTATGATGACAATTTTTTCCGGTCTTATAGAAAATTCTATGGAGGTATTTATGGATGATTTTTTCTGTTTATGGAACATCTTTTGATATATGTCTTGAAAATCTAAAAAAGGTGCTCCAAAGATATAAGGAAGTCAATTTGATTTTGAACTAGGAAAAATGCCATTTTATGGTGCAACAGGGAATTGTTTTAGGCCATGTTGTATCAAATAAGGGTATTGAAGTTGATAAGGCTAAGATAGAGGTCACAGAGCGTTTACCCCCTCCAAACTCTGTAAAAGGAGTTCGAAGTTTCCTTGGTCATGCAGGTTTTTACCGTCGTTTTAATATGGATTTATCGAAAATTGCTCGACCTCTAACTAAGCTTTTAGCTAAAGATGTTCCTTTTGTATTTTCTGATGCTTATCTTGAGGCTTTCAACAGGTTGAAGGAAGCTTTGATCTCTGCTCCTGTCATACAACCCCCAGATTGGAGCCCGCCCTTTGAAATTATGTGTGATGCTAGTGACTATGCAGTAGGAGCCGTTTTGGGGCAAAGAACAGAGAAAAAGCTCCATGCCATTTACTATACTAGCAAAACTCTTAGTTCTACTCAAATGAATTATGCCACAACTGAGAAAGAGATGCTAGCTGTAATTTATGCAATAGACAAGTTTCATTCCTATTTGGTTGGTTCTAAAGTTATTATTCATACAAATCATGCAGCACTGAGGTATTTGATGACCAAGACCCATGCAAAGCCTAGGTTGATTCGGTGGATTCTTCAGCTACAGGATTATGACATAGAGATCAAGGATACAAAAGGGAAGGATAATGTTGTTGCAGATCATCTCTCCCGTCTTCTCCTTGACCCCGAGGATGGGGATGATATCCCTTTTGATGATTCTTTCCCTGCCGAACATTTTTATTAGCTTTATTGCAAACTGAATCACCTTGGTATGCTGATTTTGCTTATTTTCGTTTCCACAGGTACTATGCCTCATGGCTACTCCTCTCAACAAAGGAAGAAATTCCTTCATGAAGCAGGGAGATATTTCAGGGATGATCCGTTCTTGTACAAGCAATGCGCGGATACCATGATCTGAAGATGTGTTTCAGAAATTGAGGTAAATCACATTACATCTCATTGCCATGACTTACCTTGTGGTGGATATGCAGGCCCTTCGAAGAAAATTGCAAAGATCTTGCAATGTGGATTTTATTGGCCAACATTTTTCAAGGATACATACTCCTATGTCAAGGCTTGTGACCGATGTCAACGGACGGACACTATATCTAAGAAGAATGAGATGCCACTCAACAACATACTCGAGGTCGAGTTGTTCGATTTGTGGGGGATAGATTTCATGGGTCCGTTTCCCTCTTCCAATGGCAATCGTTATATCTTGCTAGCCGTTGATTATGTATCAAAGTGGGTGGAAGCCATAGCTACTCCAAACAACCATGCTCGAGTGGTCAGTAAGTTTTTCAAGAAAATTATTTTCCCTCGATTTGGTATCCCACGTGTGTTGATTAGTGACAGGGGCACACATTTCTTGGAGCATCGATTTGAGGCAATGCTAAGGAAGTATGGAGTACAAGACCGGCTTGGAATTGGCTATCACCCTCAAACAAGTGGCCAAGTAGAGGTATCCAATCGAGAGATCAAGTCCATCATTGAGAAAACAGTTGCAAGAACAAGGAAGGATTGGTCCGCGAAGCTAGATGATGCACTATGGGCGTACCGAACGGCCTTCAAAACGCCAATTGGAACAACCCCATATAGACTTGTCTACGGAAAACCATGCCACCTACCCGTTGAGCTAGAACATAGAGCATTTTGGGCCATTGAAAGCTTGAATTTCGATACCAAGGCAACGGGAGAAAAGAGGTTGTTACAACTTAATGAACTAGATGAGCTTCGTCTCGAAGCTTATGAAAGTTCAAAACTATATAAAGAGAAAACAAAAAGGTGGCATGACAAGAACCTTGTGAGGAGAGAGTTCAAAGAAGGAGATCAAGGCCTTCTTTTCAATTCTAGGTTGAGATTGTTCCCAGGTAAGCTTCGGTTTAGATGGTCGGGTCCATTCAAGATCAAGAAGGTGCATCCCTACGGCACTATTGAGTTGGAAAACGCAAGAGGAGAGCCCTTTAAGGTCAATGGGCAAAGAATAAAGCATTACCGAGTTAGTGACCCCATCGATAAAGGAGTGGACATCACACTTTCTTCCCCATCACCGAGCCAATGAGTATCATCATGGTCAAGCTAAAGACCTTATAACCAAGCGCTTTCGGGAGGCAACCCGCTTTTTCGTATTTTTTTTCTTATTATTTTTATTTCCTTTGTTATTTTTAAGTCATTTTTGTGTTGGTTTTGTTGTTTTTACATAGAATGTCGATGCTTAGGAGAGCAAGGTATCAAGGGAATTCGTCAAAGTGAGAAAATGAAGAAGTCTGCTAGGTGCCCGGTCTGACCGGGCATTATATGCCCGATCGGGCGCGAGAGCATGCGTGGGGTAAGAGAAGCTGCAAACTTTGGCAGGGAAGGTTGATCTTCTCCGCCTGATCAGACCGGGCAACATATGCCCGATCGGGCACGAGAAGGTGCTTAATATTGGTTGCTGCGTAATCTGCCAAGGCAACTAGCCCTTACTTGCCCGATCAAACCGGGATGTAACAGCCCGATCGGGCAAGAGGGGGTAAAATCATTGGTATTAAAAAAAAAAAGGGATAAACAGTGCCCGATCAGACCGGGCTGCACTAGCCCGATCGGGCGCGAACAACAAGCAATATGAACAGCAAGAAGAGACCCAGCCTCCCTCCGCCCGATCAAACCAGGCAAGCCCCGCCCGATCGGGCGCGAGGGAAAACCTGCGTTTTTTAGCACTAAAGAAACCCGATTTTCTTCTTCTTTTTCTCATTTTTTGATTCATCCTCGTACATCTTCCACTCTTCTCTCTCTAAAAATCCCCAAATTCTCTAACCTTAACTCTTTCAATCTCCATCAAAACTTAAAATTTCTTCATCCTCTATCCTCCTTATTCAATTCCTAACATCCACAACCATTTTTCTTACCCCAATTTCCCTTCTCACAAACTTCAAAGTTAGAGAGAGAAACCTTCAACCAACATCAATGGCTTCAATTTCCATAAGGAAGGGGAATAGAGGGGCACATCAAAAACCACAATTGGACTTGGAGAGCATCCCAACATACCCAAACATCCGGTTCGTTCCCGAACCAAAAGGCAAGGTTGCTTGAGTTTCAATGTCGGAAGGTAATTCCTACTCAGTTCATAGATCGAGCCCTTCTTGCTAGGCTAGGAATTGATATTGAATGTCGAAATTTGTTTTCTAGACTTGGCATGACTCAACTATTTAATATGATACATTATACATTTGAGGACATTACTCTTGAATTTCTTAGTTCATTTGATGTTGTGAAAGGTAGAGACGGTTTGGTTACACATGTTGTGTATAGATTAATGAATAAATCTCACCGCCTTACCTTAGAAGGCTTCGGTAGGAAATTTGGCCTCCCCACTACAGGTTTGACTGTGTAACCCGATAGTTTTACCTCGGGGGAGTTATGGTTGGCAATGACGGGTGAAAACATAGAATCAATGCAACACGCCCGTGCTCATAAAATTCCTCAACCGGCCCTTAGGATGTGGACTAGATCCTCAGGGTGGACAATTTTTGGTAGAATTGAACCAAACAATGTTTGGGCGAATGAAATAGCCATCCTAGGTAGCTACCTTAGGTTGGAAGATGAGGGAGAGGGGTTTAGGATGAACATAGCTCACTTATTTCCCTCCATCTTAGGAAACAAGGGGCGACCTTCACCACCCTCAAACCAAATGGGGAACGCACCAACATCCCCATTGTCCTAGGTGGCTTAGTTACTCACCTAGCGGTTAAGGAGGGCTTTGTAGAAGCCCAAAACCGACCTGTGCCAGGCCCCATCACCTTGGACTAGCACTACCTCACCACCACCGGCTGGTTGTCGGTGGAATACGGTAGTTATAGCTGTCTACTAGACAGGAGCACTAGGAGGTCCATCACCTTACCCGCCCCCGAGCTTACTAGAATCCAACCCTACCAGCCCTCCTGCCTACTCAAGGCCCCTAACGGCCCAGCTCCTCCTGCTGCACCTACAAAGACCTATCACAGGAGAGAGCAGGGCGGCGCATCCTCATCCTCCACCGCTCCCCATACCCCTACCGACCGTGAGTCCATCATGGCCAGAATACAAGAGCTTAGGTTAGGCCAGCAGGAGATTAGGTTAGACCAGCAGAACCTAGCCTCCCGTGTTCACACCCTAGAGACTGACCTACGTCATTCTATGTATCCTGTATATGATTTCTTTTGTAGGAAAGGTCATATCCCGAGGGATGCTCAGCACCCCTCGTGGTATACTTTCCCCGATATGACTGACATTGCAGGTAATAGCGGGGCGGCTGGTGGTGTTGATGATGATGGTGGCGATGGAGGTGATGATGATGATGATGGTGCTGATGATGAGTTCTCTTGAGGACTCAGGAATTTGCTACTTCCCACTTGTTGCAATAAGGACATTGCCGAGTGTAGCTTGGGGGAAGTTTGTGCATAGTAGCTTAGGTATGTTCCCTGAGTTTTGGGTATGTTCTCTGAGTTTTTTTTATTTGTTTTGGTTTGTTTTCTTTCATGTGTTTTGGTGTGTATTTTTTTATTGCTTTATTAGTTAGTTTTAATTGCTTTGTTTAGTATTTCGAAAATAAAAATTAAAAAAAAAATTTGAAAATTTGAAAAAATGAAAAATACGAGAATCATGATAATTAACGGCCATTGAACTACTTCCCTGTGCCCCTATCCTTAATGCTAAAAAGGTTTTGATTTAATTTCGATTGAAAGACTTGCATTGTGGACTAAAAGATCATGATTTGACCTTGAATTTGTTGATCCCTAGTACGAGTCAAAGCTATTTAACCATGTATGATTTAGGAGCTTGACTGTGTCAACCGTGAGGCTTGAACCTTATATATTCATTCATGTGTGTGTTTAGTTCCTGGTGTAGCATTGATCTTAGTTTTGATTCTAGACTCTTAGTAGTGTGTCGTAATGCATTGCACGTGCATGTTGAAATGACGAAGGCCATGTTCATTAGATGACTGTTTGGGGTAAAAATACCCCAGCCACGTGGCCCTATGGCTGAGCGACACGTGGCACCCAGCCATTAGTCAGCAGGGCTCCAATCCCCTGCTGACACGTGTCCCAGGAACCCTAAATGGGGAACCAAGTCTTCCCACTATAAATAGTGGGGGGATCCCCTCATTCATGGGTATTCATAATTACTTACACAAAACCCGAGCAATATTAATTGCAGAATTCTCCCATTACGCGAGAAGTAATTTCACTATTTTACGCACTATCTTCCTCCTGTACGTAATTGACTTGATCATCGGAGGCGGAGCTCCAACCAACCGGAGTCTTCGTGGTTTTGCAGGTACAGGCGGCGAAGGGCATTCTCGGAATTGTAACTCTCCTGCAGGACACATCAAAAAACCCCGAAACATTTGGCGCCGTCTGTGGGGAGAGTACTTCTGAGATTGCTTCTAATCCTGTACCACCGGATCAGGACAAGTGGTCGTCGGCCGAGCCTGAGGTCCAGACGGACCATGAAAGTGGTGATGACTATGAAGTCAACACCTATGTGGCCCCAGACGGGTCCTTCAGAACAAAGCACACCCGTTCCAGGGATAAGAAGGAACGGGATAACATCCAAGCTGCTCCAGGCAACCCAGCTGGCAACCCGGTTGGAGCTGCTCAGGCGGCAGAAGGCTTTGCTCCCGTCACTAGGAACGAACTCATGACCTTCATGAATAGTTTCAAATGCGAGATCCAGAACCCTATTCGGTCAGCTACTCCCAAGAAGAGTCAGCCGGCCAAGAAGCCTTCTTCTGGGAAGAAGACAATAAAAGACCGGGTCCCTACCCCTCACCCAAAGCCGAAGGAGGGGGAGGGCCTCAGGTTTGATCAAAATCGGCTCTGCTTCCCGCAAGCGGAACTCAGAAAACCCATCCGGCACTTACAGCCGGATGGCACCAAGAAGACTTTCTCTGATGCCCGAACGTTTCTCCAGGAAAAGAGAATTCTGGCGTCTGCGTCGGCTTCAACGTCGACCTTCCCGGACAGTTTCCGTGACACCTCTAACAGGCGCACGGGAACAAGCCTAGGGAGTCAGACGAGCGAACCATCCGCCCGATCTGGACCCCAAGTGATCCAACCTGGTCTATTTGGTTCGCCAAATAGGCTAGGTGGATCCCCTTTTACCCAAGCGGGTCCGTTTGGCAGGAATGTGCAGCAGCCGTACCAACTCATGGACTAGCAGCAGCGCCTGCTAAACTTGGGAGAACAGCCCACGGCGTTCTCCCCTAAGATAACCCGGGTGGCACAGCCGGCTAAGGTTAAAAACGTGTTGGTAGGGGCCTATGATGGTACCTCCAACCCAGAAGATCATCTAATGGCCTATTCCAACCTCATGTACCTACATGGGTTGGATGATGCCGTCTGGTGCCGATGCTTCCCGGTTACCCGGAAGGGCATAGCCCAACGGTGGTTTGGTAATTTACCAGCCGGTTGCATCAACAGCTTCAAGACTTTGGCGTACTTATTTACTTCAAATTTCTCAATGAACATCCCTGCCAAAAAGACTAGCCTCGATCTAGGGGCAATACAGCAGGGTGACAGAGAAGGGCTCCGGTCCTATGTCAGACGGTTCAATCTGATGAGAATTAACATCCAAGGACTGTCTGACGAAGTTGCTTACACAGACTTCTTTAAGGGTCTGAAGGATGGGTCAACCTTCAAGTTCGACCTCGTCCGGAAAAGGGTAGCCACCCTCCAAGAGGCGTTAATGGAAGCTGAATCCTATATACAGGCGACGGAGCTTTGTGCTGTAAAGCAGCCGTCGGATTCCAAAAAATCCAACAGAAGAGACAGCCGGCAACAGCAACAGTCGGCTAAAAAGGAAGAAAAGAAGAGAAAAGAGGTATGGGCGGCAGACCGATCTGGTCAGCCGCCTCAGAAGCTCAGACGAAAATCAGAACCGTACGTTCCCAAATACGAGTTCACAAAGGACTGCTCCACCATCCTCATGGAGATCAAGGACCGGATGTCTCTCGACAAACCGGCTGTGATGAAAAGCCCCGTAAGCAGTCGGGACAAAAGCAAATACTGCCAGTACCATGAGGACGTTGGCCATGACACTAAT